CCGGAAGAGAGAACAGTGAGTGTTCCCAGAGGAACAATTGAGAACCTTAAGGACCTGTTTCTGTAGCTGCATCTGCATCTGAGCTAAAAACTCAACTATCCAACTGTGGTAGTGAATTTTTAAGATTTTTTAGACCCATCGATTGACTTCAAGGAACTCCAAGGCGTTTATTTCCCAAAACAAAAAAAAAACAAATGCACTTCAATTGAAAGCCAATCAAAAGGCAAACCAAAAATAAAATTAGAGGAAAAGTGAGATGTTGCACTTAGCCGGTAAGGCCTGTAATTGCATGTTGTTGCATGTTAGCCGGAATTAAGTGGAGAGACCTTTTGGGGCATCATCATCATCATCATCAAGGGCAATTCCCTACTCGATTGCGTGACGCTGTTCATGTGTGGCCTTTGCCCTTGCCCCCACCCGTTTTGTATTCTTCGGTTAAGGGTTAAGGCCCACACTCACTCCCACTCGACGGGCCCCCCGCTGTGCGAGGATCTGTTGGACATAATTATTTTTAATATGCGTTTTATTTCATTTGCAGTTCTCTTGTTGTTGGGCGTGACATCACGCACAAAATGTTATTGCTGTCACCCCGCGCCAGTCAAAGGAAACGATGTTCTGGCGGCCCAGCCAACAATTGTTTGGGCCAAATTGGAGCAGAAACAGATACAAATACAGTAGCAGCAGTTGGCAAACATTGAATGGAGGAAGAGCAGAGTCCTGTCAGCGAGCAGGGGGCCCAGAGGCATCCGAAAATGTGTGTAAGCGTATCTGCAGGGTATCCCAAGAGATTTGAGGCAGCCGAAGACACAAACTCAAGATACGAGTATTAAATGTATTGTAGATCAATCCAAATCAACCGGAAAGCCCTTCATGGATACTTAATGCTTAATCAATGGTCTACTTACCAAAAATAACATTTTAATTTTCTTCTAGACCTGGTTCAATTTACTACATTATAATTCCCTTACATATCATATATGATTCTTCTCATTTCATTCCAATGATCATTCCCAGCTGATCCCATTGCTCTGCGCCTTATTCTTCGAGAACCGAAGCCAGGCTAGACGAAAATGCAAAAAGTGCAGAGCATAATGCCCGAAACGCACTATAGTCCTGCCACATTTGAACAAATCGCAGGTATCATCATTGACACAATGTCAGATGCAAAAATTTCGGTTTTTGTTTCTCGCTCACTCTCTACTTGATTTTGTGGTGCAGAGAATCAGTAGCTTTTCGATAAGGATTGGCTGCTGTTGCCAAAAATACAACCTGTTTCTGGCACGAGACAGGGTATCAGCTAGTCCATTCTCCCTGGACATATGTTATTTTTTTTGATTTTTTTTTTTTTGTTACGTTAAAACAAAATAAAGTCGACATATTTCATATGCATGCGCGTCCTTGGAGGACAGCTGGAGGAAATACAAAGGGCCAGCAGATTGGGGGGCAGCAACGGGGAGGCGTGTCGACCACAAAAGTTGACAAATTTGGAAAAATTGCAACAGCGACAGCGACAGCGACAGCAGCCAGATGCTGCCTTCGGGCAAACGAAACGAAACGAAATGAAACGAAGCGAAGAAGGGGATCGGAAAAGCTTCGCAATTGAATATCTGAAACGGGGATGTGGTTGTGTCGTTGTGTCGTTGTGTGTGTAATAATGTGGCAAATTGTTGAAGATACTGTTGAAGATGCCACTGGACTTACCCTGACCTTCCCAAGGAACAAAACTTGAACGATTTGTGCGGGAAATCCATATGATTTAAGACTTGGTCTGCTTTCCACTTAAGGAACAGATTATAGATATGGATTATAAAAACTTTACCAAGATTTGAGCGCTTAAAGTTTTGTGTAGCTAAATGGGGGTTGGGCTAACAATTGGGGTGAAAGTTAATAGTTTTTTAGGTATTACTCAATACTTTTGTTCGAAAGTGGATCCATAAGCCATAAGTTAAGTCAAAGAGGACACTTTTTCATCCCACTATCAGAAAGTGTATTCAAGCTTCCATTTATCCTTCAATTCATATTGTTTATTGTTTATTTTAGCAAAAAAAAGAACCAAAAAAAAAAAAACATAAACAAGAAACTTTCTTCGGCGCTCGTCCAATGTTTATAAACATGCCAAGAGTAGTACCCCCCGCGACCCCGAGTCCCCTCTACTTGGTTCAACACCCCTGCGAAATTTTCATTTTTCTTGGCATTTAATATTCCTCAAGCCGCCAAGACCCCAGAACCGATTTCCACTTATTAATAGCCCAATAAGTTATGGGATGTATGTACGTGTAATCTCTCATTGGAGTTTATTAAATATGGGACTCTAAGTGGGTCTAGAGGCTTGCCTTAAAGGTGGCTCCTCGGCCCAATCGCATCTCCTGCCCAAATGCCCAAGGCCAAAGGGCAATGGTTATCTCTGTTCCACCTAAAGTTTAACGTTGTTTATGCCTTTATTTGTCTCTGTTTTACTACCCTGAAAGAGGGTATTCCGTTTTGCAGCACAGAATACACCGAAAGCAACGAATTTACGACAACTTAAAGCATTATAGTGCCGTGAAAGTCTCCACAGATCCTTCTTTTGTCGTCTTCACATCCTATCGCTACCATGGTGACAATCCAAGATGCAAGGGAATCAAAGACTTCGGTAGCCATACGCCAGCAATCCCCTTGATGTTTTTATCCGTTTGTTGCCCGAACTCACAGACACTTAAGACTTCAGATGGAACGGAATGGGAGCCCAGGAATTATGATTCAATATATTCGCCAAAGTAGGAAACGAAGCCCGCAACATTTATGAATGTATTCATATTATTCACATTGTTGTTGACACTTTTCATCAGGGCCAAAGTTATTCGCTCAGTTCCACGATGAAGGAGTGGAAATCTCTTGAATCTTTTATATAATTGAGTAGCGGATGCATAAGAGACCCTCAGCCACAGACCATGCCCCTGCCCCTGCCCCTGCCCTTGCCCTTGCCCTTGCCCATGTGCTGCAAGGTTGAGCAGTCCCTCTGACGTGGCCAAAAGACGTAAGCACTCGGGCTGCCACCCAACAGAACAGTCCCCCGCCGACGGCAAATGCGTAATGCAACTTCATAAGACGCACGCGGAACTGGCAACCGCTTGCCCCTTACCAACAGGGTGGGCTGGGGGGTGTGGGGGGGCTCTGCCTGCGAATGACAGGTAAATGGAGTGTCACTGCCGCTGAGTGCTGCCATCTAATCAGCTGCAAACACAGACGTGAGCGGCTGGCAGGGAGGGGGGCGGGCGTTGAGAAGCAGATGAGGGATTAGTGTCGCCATATTGAGCAAGGTGCACGACTAGGGTGCGGAATTCACCCTTTTGTGACAGCCCCCCCGGGGAGTCCGTTTGTAATCCAGTTAAGACAGGTCCCCCAGCAAGGGATCTGCTTACCAGATGCCACGTGAACCTGTAACAAATCCGTAGAAACAGCCACAGTCGCACCTTTAGCGCACGTCTCTGGAAAATGTCTGGCATTCAGACGGGAATTTCTCTCAGTGCACTGTCCACTGCCCGAAGGGAGTCTGCCCGTTGTCTGGTGTTTTCATTGTGGCACGCTTTAGCGGAGTGATGAGATTTCCCAACTGCGATTCGTGTCTATTTATGGAATGCCACCGATGGAGGCTCGCCGAAGGGTAAATCCCATGGAGATAAGTCCAAGACAGCTACTATCTGTGGCTGTATGCCCCGAAGGTAGTTAAGCACGTGAATGGCAAACCAATCAAACAGGAAAAGTACGCCATGAATCCCTCTAATCCTAATGGGGGGAGAAATTATCATGGTTTCAAGGTTCCATTTGATCTAAGAATCTGGTGTCACGGTGTTTGTGGTTCAACAGCACAGAAAATGGCAGACAACGCCAAAGCCAAGTACAACGATCATTTGCAACCGCTTCGTTTCTTAGTCTCGTATTCGAGTACGAGCCAAATATTGAGTATTCCGCTCATTCGAAAGTGCTGATTAAAGCTATGGACACAGAATGTCCCCATGTCATGCGCTACAGTTCAAACAAGACTCAGATCGTATGCATTTAGCATCAGGAAAAGTGAAATTACTTGCAAGGAGACACCACTAGAACTCATCGGCGTGGATCCCGATTTAAACCTGTTTCTGAAATCCATTCGCACATTCTACTTATGCTTCCAAATGACGTCGATGGTTGCCGGGTCAGTCTAAGCAAACACATGCCATATTGTTTCTTGGCTTTCGACAAAGTTAAGACGAGTTTTGAAGCCCAAAAAGGAACAAATCCCAAAAATTTCATAGATTTTGATTAGCTTTTGTAACTTAAGTCCAGCCCCCTAGGGACATATCCCTTTTCTTTCGGTCCATTCCTTTTTGAAGCCTTGACCTGCGGCGAGTTTTTTGGCTACCCTTTTGACCACTCAGAAGTCCGCTTATAGTCTGGACACTTGAGGCTCAGTTCTTTTTGGCCTGGATAATTGCAATTGCTGTTGCGTCAACAGGAAAAGTTTTGTTTTCATACGTTTTCCACTTAGCTTGGATTATCTTTGCAGCACTTTGCCTTTCCCCCTTTTCCATCCCTCTTTGTTTTGCAAATTTTCTTTGGGTGCATGCAGAATGAGTGCTGCTGGGCGGTGGGGGGGAGGTTGGCCCTGTTGTGAGGCAACAGGCTACAGTTTTCCGAGAATACTCAATAAAATGCCATAAACTTTTCCTTCTGCAACTCTTCGGAGGGCGGGGGGCTGTCCATTTTACACATTAACGCGGCTGCCTGCCTCCACAAGCAACTGCAGGCAGAAGGGATAGGGGTGGAGGGACTGAACTCTTCAGTTTTAATTTCGTTGAGTACCATTATGTTACGATGGGGGTTGAGAGAGGGTGGAGGAGGGACTGCAATGGGAGCAGTCCCATAAATTACGCATACGCCGCGTATTCCCGAATGGAATGACCACGCGTGCAAGGCCTGTCTGGCCAACCAGAATAGAATGGTAATGGTTCCCCTCCCAAGTCCTCGTGGTGGCCACTTACCTCGAGTAAACAAGCACAGCTGGATGAGGCAGTCCAGCCAACGGAGTTGCGTGCCGGCCGCGCTATGGGACCTGGGCTTGCTGCTGCTCGATGCCATCGCCTCCAATTGGATTTACATGTTCATCCTGGTCTTTGTTTCGGTTGTAGTTCCCGGGCCCGTTCCCGTTCCCTTTCCCGTTCCTTTTTTCCGTTTCTTTTGTTCTTGCAACAACAGAAAATGCGACCAAAAACAGGAGAGCGAGGGAACCGGTCGGAAAGTCTCCTGAATTATTGAGGGATTTGTCGCTGCACTGGTCCCATCAATATTTCAAATGCGCCCTGCAATTATCCTCGCACAAACACAGACACGGACACAGTAAAAAACCACAACAAAATTGTATTCTATCGAATGGCAATTTCTGCAGGTTCACAAAAATTGCGCGCCAAAAATCAACACGGTTTCGGGGGGGGCAGTGCGTGCGCTACGATTGGTGGAGCAGGCCAGAGGTAGTGCTGCTCTCGAGCATATCGTGTATTATCAGAGGGCGCAAAATTTGGCGTCAAGCTTTTATAGGTCTGGAACAGCTGTTGCCGAGTTCGAAATTTCGAACAGCTGCTGCACAGCTGTTGGGCGCATACCTGCAATATATTTGAAATTGGTTTGGCTGGCTTATTGGTTTTGCCATTATTCCATGGCAATGCGTTATGCGTTAGATATTTATAGTTAAGTAAAGCTTTTACATATTAATAGAGAAACAACTAAGCATACTGCCAATAGAGGAAAGTGTTCCTTAAATGAGCCAACTTTCGGAATCACGCCCAGAAGGCCAATAATGCATTGTCATTCTAGTTTGCCGCCAGGCAACGTAAGGGGTAATTACAATTACTATAGACAAATACTATATCTGTTATCTGCTGACATTCAAATTAAAGCGCTAACTCCAAAGCTCGAATACCATACGATTTCGGCGGAGTACGTTCGAAAATTCACCATCTGGCAGCGCCCAACCTTAACGGCCAGTGCTGTGTAGTAAAAGCTGGTCTCGCTGGTATATACAAACGTCCTCTTCAGGTGTCGCTTTTTGGGAATTACATACAAATGTAGTAGCTGTGTAGCGAATGTGTAGTTGCCGTGTAGTTACAAAGTAAAGACATTCATTTTGTGGGAATTGTTTTTGTTTCAACCTTATTTTATAAATAATGCAATAAAGATGATAAGTTAAATTTAACCAGTCTTGTAGGAAATCTATTCAATAATCGGATAAAACTATGAGGGTATGGCAAATTGGTTTATCTAGCTCATAATATTTCACGGAATATCAAAAACGAGGAATATGTAAAATAGAACTTGAATTCGTCAGTATAGGTATACGGTCACTCTTTCCATTGTTTTTTGTTGTCGTCCGTAGAGAATCGTTTGTTTATATCGCGGAAAAGGCCAGGATGAACCGGAAACTGACCAGGGAGACGGCCCAGCAGCACTGTCTCACCTGCCTGTTGAAGCTGGACAGCGAACAGGAACAGGATGCGGATGAGGCGGCCATCAGCCGCCATGAGCTGCAGCATCTTCTGCGCCAACACCTGGACTGGCCGCTGGAGGGAGAGCACCTGCTAGAGAAGTGGCTGCCGCAGCAGCTGTGCCAGCACTGTCGTCAGGAGCTGCAGCGTTTCGAGCAGTTCCGCCGGCGGGCGATTGAGTGCCGGCTCCAGCTGCTGAATCTGCTGAAGGAGGAGCAGTACACGGAACCCTCATTTGAGATTGTGTACGAGGAGTCACTGGAGGCCACTGGAGGGCAGGACGAAGAGTTGCTGCACAGTTTGGAGCCACCAGATCCGGACCTAGACCCCGATCCAGATCCCGATCCCATCGACGAGCCTGCTGCAGAAACACCGCCAGAAAAGGGCCAGGCCAAGGTGGAGAAGCGAACCACACGGGGCGTGAGAAACAGCCTGAAGTGCAGCCAGTGCCAGCACAGCTTCGCCCACAAGCTCACCCTGTCCGCCCACATCCGAAAGGTGCACGAGGGCAGCAAGCGACCGTTCCAGTGCGACCAGTGCGAGAAGTGTTACAGCTTCATGGGCGGCCTCTACACGCACATCAAGGAGATCCATGCGACCCGTGAGCGCCGCTATCCCTGCGACCAACCCGGCTGCGATCGCGTCTATACCAGCTCCATTGCCATGCAGAAGCACAAGCGGCTGAAACACAGCCCCAAGGAGCCGGCGCGCAAGTTTATCTGCGAGCAGTGCGGCGCCACCTTCAACCAGTCAGCCAATCTGAATTACCACCGGCGCACCAAGCACCCCACCGAGGATGAGGTGGCCGCCAGGGACAGCGGCAGCGATCAGCACTTCTGCGAGCTTTGCCAGAAACACTTCCATTCCCGCTATACGCTGCGCTACCACACCATGCAGCAGCACGGGGACCAGGAGCGCCTCCTGCCGCACGAGTGCCAGGTGTGCGGCCGCCGCATGGCCAAGAAATTCATGCTGCTGCAGCACATGCTGATGCACTCCACCGACAAGATTCCCTGCGAGCACTGCGGCAAGCTGTTCGCCCGAAAGTTCGAGCTGGAGGCCCACATCCGGGCGGTGCATCTCAAGCTGAAGCCCTTCGCCTGCAAGTACTGCTCTGAGTGTTTCGCCTCGCGCAAAACCCTGCGCCACCACGAGTACATCCACACGGGCGAGAAGCCGTATGTTTGCGATGTGTGTGGCCAGAGATTCCGGCAGCAGACGTGCCTCAAGAACCACCGCAAGGTCCACGATAAATAGGACGCACTGGACACAAACTGGAACTGTCTGTCTAACAAGTGAAATTTAATTAGCATTAGTCAATACATTAGTTCTTACAGAATCTACAAATATATGTAGTTTATGGGCTGGCGTCCTGATTGGCGGGCGGCTTCTGCTCCCGCTCTATGTAGACGGGCAGATCTTCGAGCGGCTTGTAGTACAGATGCACCGCCTGGGAACCGGCCATCATGGCCAGCATTGCGCTGGCCAGGAATTTGGTGTACTGACCCCACGAAACGCCAGCGGGCATGATTCCCACAGTTATACGACTACTGCTGGTGCTGCTGTTGCTGCTGCTGATGGTGCTGCTGCTCCTCCACGTAGTTCTTGGCCTGGCGACGCTTAAAAGTTCTATCTGCAAGCGGATAAGACCAAGATATTAGACAGGACGTGGCTAGGTGCACAGAAGGGGAGCGACATACAGAAATTGGTTTCGCCCACGGTCCAGTTGATCATCGAGAACTCCAGGGCGGCGCCCAGCACAAAGAAGAGCGGCAGGAAGCGGTAGATGCCGAAGCGTCGCTTGCCGGGCCAGCTATCGAGCAGACGTCGCACGGAGCCGCTATATAGATTCATGTGTGAGTAGCCGCAGAGGGGGGATTATATAATTGCTTGCTGTCTGCCGGCAGCTCAAGTGGAGTGGGCGGTCTGTTTGATGTGGCGGCCTCTGCGGATGCAAGCATCCATCAATCCCTGGGTCTTTTGCCTTCGTAGCAGCTTGTAAACTCAGCGAATTAGCTGGCAAATTTATTTTTGTCCAACAAAACTTTAAATTCGTGTGCTCCGCCGCCTGAACAGCTGATCGATGGAACGGTCTGGTAGCGCTGTTGAGGAAAATACCGTATAGAAATACTATCGTTAGGCTAATTTGTGCGCTGTGCCGCGCTTGCCAACACTGCCCGAATTTGCAAATAAAGAAACAAATTGTAAACAAATTTTGGCCGAAATATGATTCACAGTCTGTTTATTGTTAACAGCGGGGGGTAAGTGCGACCACTGCCAGGAGTGAAACAGCAACAGCAAAATCTCAGCCATTCCACCTCCCAACAGCGAAGTTTTCCTAGAGAAGCACTGGCGGTCCGTAGTTTCGCGATCCGTTTGCGAATATTTTCTCGATGCCCAGCGCGCTGCACCATATGTAAGACCCCCCTCCCACCATCACAGTTGATTCTGCCACGTACTGAAGCTTGAGCTCGTTTCAGGATGTGCCGCCAGTGATAGCCACGCCCCACTACTACCTTATCACCGTGCAGCGGGAGGCGGTCTCGCTGGTGGCCGCCTGCAAGCAAGAGGTGCCGCCGCTCTTTGTGATCGAGTTCCTGCACCGTGTGGTGGACACGTTTCAGGACTACTTCGGCGACTGCTCGGAGACGGTGATCAAGGACAACTATGTCGTTGTCTACGAGCTGCTCGACGAGATGCTGGACAACGGCTTCCCCCTGGCCACGGAGAGCAATATCCTGAAGGAGCTGATCAAGCCGCCGAACATACTCCGCACCATTGCCAACACCGTCACCGGCAAGAGCAAGTCCGTTCAGCCATCACCGAAAAGAAAGCCCTCCCTGAACCGTCCCACGTTTTGCATTGCAGTGTCAGCACCATCCTGCCGTCGGGCCAGCTATCGGCCATACCCTGGCGCCGGAGCGGTGTGCGCTACACCAACAACGAGGCCTACTTTGACGTCATCGAGGAGGTGGATGCCATCATTGATAAGTCCGGATCGACTGTTTTTGCCGAAATCCAGGGGCATGTAAGTTATAGAATTGAAGTAGAAGGCATGAGTTAATTTTGCGCCTTTAGATCGATTGCTGCATCAAGCTGTCGGGCATGCCGGATCTTACCTTGTCGTTTATGAATCCACGCCTCTTCGACGACGTCTCGTTCCATCCGTGCGTGCGCTTCAAGCGCTGGGAGGCCGAGCGCCTGCTCTCCTTCATTCCGCCCGATGGAAATTTCCGCCTGATGTCCTACCACATAAGTTCGCAGTCCGTGGTGGCCATACCCATTTACATTCGCCACAATTTCTCAATTAAGACGGGCGAACAGGGACGCCTGGATCTGACCATCGGACCGCGCAACACGCTGGGACGCACCGTGGACAAGGTAAGGCTGGAGCTAACGATGCCACGGTGCGTTCTCAATTGCCTGCTGACGCCGAATCAGGGAAAGTACACATTCGATTCGGTCAGCAAGACGCTGTCCTGGGATGTGGGCCGCATCGATGTCTCCAAGCTGCCCAATATACGGGGATCGGTAAGACCAGATCTGATTAGCTGATGTATACAATATCTAAGATATCTTCCATTTTGTCTCTCGCCAAAAAAGGTGTCCATCACACCGGGCACGACCAACATCGATGCCAATCCGTCGGTGAATGTGCAATTCCAGATCTCCCAGCTGGCCGTCTCCGGGCTGAAGGTGAATCGCCTGGACATGTACGGGGAGAAGTACAAGCCCTTCAAGGGCGTCAAATACCTGACAAAGGCGGGCAAATTTCAAGTGCGAATGTAGACAAATGGCGTCCATCCTAACTGCCAGGCGACGGACCCGGCAACGGCAACGGCAGCCAGCCTTAATTAAGCGTACATCTTAAGCGTATTCCAAATACCTTGTTTTCTGTCACCCCACTATCTGTATCTATCCATCTATCCATCCATCTATATCCATTCCTTTCTCTGTCCATAAAAAAGCCACAGCCACAGGCTCCAATGTCGTTGTGGTGTGTGTTGCGCTGCGTTCTGTTGTGTGGTGGCTCGTCGCCATGTTTGAGAGCGCAACAAAACGGATGGGGAATAAAAGAAGCGAGAATCGAATCTCGATACTTGACTGGAAACGTAGTTGCAAGTCGGGTCTTCGAGTGGTGTGGCGTGGCGTGGCGTGCCATGGCAACAGACAACGCAGAAAACCAATAAATTTAAATGAAAATGCAAAACTTGATTTTGCAGCCAGCTAGCAACGCAATCCGCATACATACTGTGTATATGTATACATATGTACACACCTCTATGTTTGCTGGGTGCTGTGTGCTGTATATAAGTGCATACATACTCGTATGAATTGAGCCACAGTGGAGCACTGGTAGGAGGGATATGCAGAAAGAGAACAGCTACAGATCCACAATATCCAAGTTTACAAATACCGAAATCATATTATTTGAATAGAAAGATTATTCGATAGATACATTTTCCTTTAAGACACTCGATATACGATGTTTCTCTAGAAAAAACAGTTTGCGATTTAGATTCTCACTAGAAGAAACTTGCTGCGCCTGAAAACTCACCCTTAACTGCTAAGCACCACTGAGAAAGAGAGAGTGAGAGACTTCTTCCTTCATGGCAGCTATATTTTAAAGATACAATTGTACTTGTAATTTCGTAAACAGTTTTCAAGCACTCCGCTTGATACTTTGAACCGAGAGCGTCTCAATATATTTTTCTAGGATAGCTTTTTCGTTTTGCGAACCAAAGTCTAGAAAAGCACCAGGTAAAAGCCATCATCCAGAGGCCCTACTGTCTTTCTTTCTCTGTCTGTCTTTTTCTTGTTATCTCCTCATACAGCCTGCATTTTTCTGTGTCCCGACGGAGTTGAGCCGGGAACCGGTTTCCCCACCGTTTTCAGCCTTTTTTCAGTTGCAGCTTCTAGCTCCACAGTCTTTTGGGTGCGGCGTGCAACGGTAGCCAACAAGCGCCACCAAAACCGTCGACCAAGCCAAGGCGAGGACCATGGCTAGACATGTTGTACACACAGACAGACACAGGCCTCGGCACAGGCACAAGCACAGACACAGTTCCACAGAGAGATCTTTTGGCCAGAATCGGAGTTGACCAGACCTTAACAGACCGGGCCATAGCTGTGCTGGTCTGGTCGGAGCCCCAGCCTCGTTCCAGCTCCGTTTTGCTTTGACTGCATTCAAGAGCCATTTTTCAAGCGTGGGAAATGCCTATTTGGAGCTATGCGATGGAGTTCTTTGAAGGGCAGATGGAGGGTGGAGAGGGGTACAATTTGCTGCACAGCATGGAGCATGGAGCATGGAGCATGCCCCGAAATGCTCATTGATTCAGGTTCGTTGCCTAAGTCTTTCGTTATGCCCTCCTATGGCTTCCATTCTCCACCTCCGCCATTCACGCTGGCACCTCTGCCGGCACACATTCGCCCCCTGCCTAGTAAAAGGTTTCTCCATAGGTATTTCTGGCATTTAGTTGGTGTAATTGATAGCACATTTCATACGGATCGATTATAAATTGTTTTTCATCTCGTTTGCATTTTGCACGGCCAGCGGCAGCCACAGAATACACGTAATTTTATGGTAATTCTGGGGGAAACGTTTTATAGATTATTTGTAGCAATTGAATTTACTTCTAAACAAGCCTCATGAATGCCCTCAGGTGCTGCTCGAAAACCTCATTACAAATTGTTGTTTCTCGCTGAGAAACCTTATAGATCAGATCTCTGGCTCGACCTCTCACATAAGCCACAATCCAATCTGAAGTTCCTCTCATAGAAACCTTATAGGGTTTCCTTCAGCTCTCTCTCAGTGCCCCGCTGAGAGACCTCAGAGATCTTTTCCTTAGCTGGCTTTTCTCTCCGCCAAACCTCCCAGATAACCTTCTGTACTGTGAAACCTCACAGATTTCATCTTTAGCAGCAGTTCGAGCTTGAAAAACTACAAAAAAATATTCCTCAACTGCAGCTCATCGACTTCTGCGGCATATGTACTCTACTGTCGGCTTTGTCTGATTGTCCCATCCAACAAACTCTACTTCTAGCGCCCTGCTAAGTGATTTCCACAGACTGCAATCTCCTCCTCCCATAACCATGGATGATTTGCATTTGATCTACTTTGGGTTCGAAATGTTTGTCCAAGACAAAATCTATCGTATGTTAACACACAACTGAAATACTCTTAAAGCGTATGGTTTTCATAAAATATACATATCAAGGGAAAATATTCAATTAATTTGTATAATTCCACATTCAATTTCTATAGTCATAAGGATGTATCTTTGGCAGAAATAGAAATGCCAATTGCAAGCAAAAGTTTGCGATTCCTATTTTAAATCGAACTAAAGTCCGATACCAATGTTTTCTGCTTCAATATATGGGAAACATCAAAGTTAACTAATTTAACCAATTTCCATATATTTTCCTTATTTTCCTTCCTTCCCGTGTTTTTTGTTCATTTGATTTAAACAATATCTTACTCTATTATTACATCTCTTATGATTTATGATCAAAATTCTAACACAAAGTCTCTCTAGAAAATTCAACTATACTATCTGAAAAAACAATCCAGAAAAATGGTTGCGAAACCGTGCGAAACAGTGCTTAAAATTATATTCTTATAAAGTACATATGTATGTATAATTTTTTGGTACAATCATAAACCATTTTTAAGAGACATCAATGCACTACATTCTAAAATTGAAAATCGCATTGAAATATATGTGAACGTACAGATATCTAAAGATAGATAGATATTTTCTGTTTTTGTCTCGTGATAATGTGTTCGTTATGTTTTTTGTTGCACTTAAAAAATTCAGCGCCAATTAAGAGTAATATTTATATCTATATTTTGACTTTTTTACTTTGGAAATTCCTTTATACATTTATGTATCTCTATATATGGGGTGGGAAACGTTTCCTGAAGACTTAAGATCAAATCAGACAGACGCTTTTCACAGTTTGTTGGATATATATTTTCTTTGCTGAATTAAGATTTTTCTAATCGAATTTTGATGCAAATAAAACCCCATTTAGACGGCTTTTCTGGTGGGGTGTGGGGGGGAGCGTTGCGTTGCGTTGCGTTAGCTAATGGAGCCTTCGGGCGGCAACCAAAAAGTTAAGTGAAAGACAAGCAACAGAGCAAATTCGAGCGACATGCATTTGTCATTAGCAGCAACAAGGTTGTAAGGCCTCCGCTCTGCCATGGAGGATGGGATGGGTGGCATTGTGGTGCTGGGGCAAGTCGTGCAATTGCAATTGCATTCGCTGTTCGATAATAATTTATGCAACCTGTTGTCGCCGCACTAGGCAAATGTTTAAGCTCTTGTCTTGCCTCGCTTGTTACTTGTTTGCTTTGCTGCTTTGTTGCATATTTGTTGATTTTGATTGCTGTTTGCCCAACTTAGCGAAAGGTGTCGAATGCACCGCACCGGCCAGCGTCAATTGGATCGGCCCACATCGTTTCGAAAACTATAAACCAGAGCAGCAACCGGTGCCTCCTCCTCCTCCTCCTCCTTCTCCTCTAGTGTCTGGTGCATAGAATGTCTAATAAGCACTCGCCTGGCACGTCTGGCCATCTAATTAGAAACGCTGATTGTGTCCACGCGGGCGGCTGCTGGACTGGAGGGGGGGTGCCGAGTGCCAGAAAACAAATCCATATGGCAATCCATCGGCAATGCTATCGGTTATAATGCATGAGTGCATACCCTGCACTTGATGTGGTTTCGAATCATTCATTGATGGTATTTCACAGGAGTATAGCCCTATGCACAGTGGGCAAAAAAGCCTATCTAGCTGAAATAATAAATAAAGAATAAAGATATACTTTTGAAAATTGTCTTGTTTTATGATAATAGCTGAAATAATAAATAAATAATAAAGATATACTTTTGAACATTTTCTTGTTTTATGATAATTTTGATTTTTTTTTTTTAAGTAAAAAATAATTTTAAAAAATGGAAAAGTATTTTTTCATTGTGGATTTATTTTTTGATGACAGTAAGAATATAAAAAATTATTTCAATTTAAAATATGAATATTGCAAATAATATGACCTTCAAATGCTTACATTATAAAAATGATCAAATATTAAAAAAAAAAATACCGATAGCCTAAATAGTGTATTGTTAATCGAATTCAACATTAAAAATGCTTTGTATATTTAAAAATTTGACTTTTATTCCGCTAGACTGGCTGTTTTGACCACTGTGCAGCGGTGTTAGCATGCATTCCAGGCCTATCAGATCCTTTGAATCCTTAAAACTTTAAAATAAACATAATATTAAGGCAGTTCTACAATTGTAGGAAATTAATTTAATTTAAATATGAAAAATATTTCATTTAAAAATGAAATATATTTATTTTTAATATAAATAATATTTTAATTAAGTATTTTCATATTCATTTTTCTTGTTCAAATTTTCACACCCCGAGAAGTGTCAAAAATAAAATTTCAGGGCTTTCATGCTATTTACACTTCCTCCCCCAGCCGAAATAACCGAGAGTTCCAGAAGGGTATGCTATCTAAGTGGACTTTGTGTGTCACTTCTGTGGTGCTCATTAAAAACGATTGAAACTTCCGCAAGTCGATGGAAGAATGAAAGAAGATGCTTTCAAAACGAAACAAAACCAAAAGCCAGAAACTACTCTATAGTATGATCCCGAACATATCATAATCACAATCGCAATCGCAGTGCGGAAAGTGTGTTTCTGGCTCACAGACATACATACAGTCGTTCCCGCTACCCTCTTTCACTCGCCTCTTTGTAATTCGCTATGGGTATTACTCATTCTGGGGTCTTTAATTGTGTTCCTTCCCATAAACAAAAACCCCGAAAAATTGAACGCAGAACAAGCAAAATAAACCTGACATATGTACATATACAGACTCGTACATTCGGGTCTCTGTCTGTCTGTCCCCGAGGATTTGCATACAAAGTCACAAAATTTTGATAAACAAAAAGATATTAATTGCTTACGCATACGATATCTACATACAGACACTCATATTCTCATGCGGGGCTCTGTGAGATACTGTAGTATCTGTGCTATGCTAATGCAGGAGTTTTAGCTGATAAACAGGCATCGACATGTGTACTATGTATCTGTGTTTTGGGTTTGGTGTCAGCCACATAATTAGTGGAAAATACTCATGGCTAACAAGTGTCAGCAAATGTCATTTAATTAATCGGTTTATAAAAGGTTAAAGGTCGCCTGATGTTCGCCTTTTCAGTCGAAGAGTGAGCAAAAGGGAGTAGAACAATTCCTACGTGGGTGGCCTTGTAAGTCCGTAAAGGACCAGAAAAATCTGTATCATTTACACTTTTGCATTCGCTGAAACCAATCTTCAAAGCACTTTTTCCACTTCTCTGGGAGAGAATATCCAAAGATGGGTTTTTCGTTTATCGTTAAACGATCTAAAACGCAACCCTAGAATATAGAGTGCCGAGCACGATTTGCCCAAAAAATACCAAACTTTTAAATGGTAGAGGCGTTTGTGACCTGGCTATACTAAAAATAGAGGTACACGTGCCTCAACATCAGTATACCCGAAACACTTAAAGTATTTTTCTCTATAGAAACAAGTCTCAATGGAAGAGGATGAGTAATACAATAGAGAAAGACTAGAAAATGTAGATAGTTCAACCAGACAGAGAGTTTAAAACACGCCAACCATTTGATATTTGCCAATAGATATTTCCTTGGAATCATGTGATTGAAAAACCCAAACCAGGCAAATGCCCGCCCAAGAACTATACGAATTATAGAGAAAAAGTGTAGAAGTAAGGACTGGACACTGAACAGATTTGCTTCGAGAATGTTTACTTAGCAAGGTGATAAATAAACTGCTGAACTGCTGATCTGCTGCTCCTCCCCCTCACAGATAATTTGCAGCATTCAGGCAGAACACACAATGAAATGAAGTACAAAAAACCAAAAAACAATTGCGACAAACAGCACGGAAAAAATAAAAGGCAATAACAATAAATCTGGCAGCGGCAACAAAAGGAGGCAAACCGAAAACGATTCACGGGGACTGTCTGAAAATCAGCGAAAACAACTTTTTAAATAAATAAATTGTGTCTAAACTGAAATTTAGACGAGTGTCGCACAGATCACGGCGCAAGCCGCTTACGTGACGACCATTACATTACGTAAGGTGTTGCCACCGACAGAGGTCGCCACTGCTTTTGGGGGCGGTTGGGAAACGGATTCAACGGATTTTGTTTGAAATTGATCGCCGCAGTGGGTGTTGTTTTGCAGCGCTTTTGTGCAAATTGCGGGAAATTAATTTGACAATTGTCCGGCGAGAAACAAAAACAACGACAACAAACGGTAGACCCCCGGCTACACCCACTCACCCCAAGTGCAAGGTCGACCGAGAAATCATGCATCCATGTGTGTTTTTCAATGGGGGAGGTACTTTTATCCATCCAAATAGAGCTCCTCGTCTGGAAACAAGTACATAATACACGAAATGGTTCTCGTGCTGCTTGGGCAGGGTCTTAAAACGTGTCGCGCGTCATGGAGCAGCGCCACTCGGTCGGTTGGCCTTTATGCCTGAAAACCGCGCTTTAGCAGCTGCGACCATCATTGAATCATTGAATCTGTGAATTATGCCTGTCCTTTACAGAGCCCCTCCCGATCTTTGTAGCTGTAGGATTTAGGAAGCCTACCCCCTGGACATTCCACTCAACCAAAGAAAACTGTTATATTTTTTTAATTTTTCTAGAGTTCCCCCTAACACTAGCTATTCTCACATTTCGACGGCGGAATGTTTGAGCGAGGGGGCAAATAAAAATTCAATTCAATCAATTCAGAACTTTGACATTTGTCGCTTGAAGAGAGATACCCATTTCTATGCCACGATTGGTCTTCGCGTTTTCTTGGCAATGCCATGCCGTAATATTTATACGAGTATATGTACTATATTTATTTATTTATTGAGGGCAATTGCAGCGCTTAATTCAATTTGATATGATACCCGTAATTTGCTCAACATCTTCTCAGCACTTTGCATAGCCCCAGCTCACGGGCCAGTATTGCCTTACTTTCAGCATAAATTTGCAATGTTTGTGTAATTGTGGAATTGTTGGAATACTCGCGCCGTGGTCCCCGCCTCGCGATTACAGCATTGCATTCCGTTGCAATGCCCCATCCGGAAAGGGAAAATATTTCCAGTCTCCGGAACAAAACAAAAATTTAGCTTCAATAGATATCCACTAATGCTACCCCTGGCAGGTCGATCGTTAATTTTTACTTAATCGTTTCTCAACATTTCGAATAAGAAAGTAGATATATTTTGGTTTTTTTAGACTCCAGTTCCAGGTGTCCTTTAAAAAGGCCTTCGCCCAGCTTCCAAATATTTCAGAATAAGTTATCCTGAATACACGAGTGATAAATGCGACTTGTTTGTCACCGACTTTACTCAGAGATCGATTTACGTAATCGTTAAGTAATCAAATAATTTAATTAATGGAAACGCTAATCATATTTATTGGGCCAGACGTGCAGCCCGCTTTTGGGGTGCTGAATGGGTGCCTGTTTTAAGAAATCATCATGTATAGAGGGTCTCCCTTTTGAAGATGAGTCTCTGTCCGTATTCCTCTCTGAAAGTCGGTTGGTTTTCAGATGGGGTAGCCCCCCGGTAAATCACACGTCAGATGAAGCCACATGGAGAACAAAGTTCTGAAGATAATTCTGACGAAATGAGCAGATAGGTCAAAGACCATTAGCACCCAAAGATCGTTCTGGAACCCGTTCCGATGTTTGCTGAAAGTCAACAAGTTTCGGCTGGTTCTCGTCAGTAAAAAGGTGGAACCTGCACCTGCACCTGCACCCGCTCGCCGTGCCACTCCACCGCGAGAACCTTTTAAGTTTCGACAACTGTTTTTTTGTCGTTTGGTTCTGTAATTGCTTTTGGCGCACCCCGATAAGAAAACGGTCTTTGATTTTCCTTGTTTTATTCTGTCGTTTATTTCCGCATGAAATGGAGTTGTTCTTGAATGAATACAAACGATAAATCTTAGAAGAAAATCATCATGTTTTCGGTTAATTTCGTACAATTATAATTAGGCATAAGAATATGGAATTGAAATTGAAACTTAGCCTAAAATGACAAACATTATGTTTCATTGTATTTTTTGTTTTGTTTTTTTTTTGTTTGTTTTTTTTTGATTGCTTTCCGATTTTAACTGTCTTTTAAATATTGCCTTTGAGTCTTTCATTTGTTGCTTGTCTTTCCATGAACTTACATTTAGATTTTTTATGTATATATATTTTATATATACTATATTTTTGTATCTTGTATAAATATATATAGATTTTTCTCCGTTCCTCCTCTCATTTATGGATGATTTATCTTGTGATTGTAAAAAAAATTGCGCTAAACTAAATAAATGCTACCAAAAACATGCAAAAAAAAAGGGAAATCTTAATAAAAATTATGAAAAATTACTATTACTAATTGCTGGCGAAAATTGCTAAATTATATGTGTAAAAATTGAAATAGAATATATAATATATGGTATTGTATATTAGTGTTATCAATAGGGTTCTCTTTATGCTGGCGTTTCTTTACTACTTGTAAATTATTGTTATTTTTTCGTGGATATATATATCCGTATGTTTTTGTTTTTGTTTTTTGTTACTTTTTTAATTTTTGTGTTTTTGTTTTAGATGTCTTAATCAATGATCACAACTCTTAGCATAAATATTACTCGCATGTGGCATTCGTAAATATATATTGTATGTCTCTTCGTATGTATAAATATCTGTGTAATTGCTTATTAAAAATATATTATATATGCATGGATGTGTATGTATATATCTCTATCCCATAACTTAATTCGTTAGCTGCTGCTCCTCGACATATACAATATACAATATGGAATATAGTATATAGTATAGTTGAAAAATGTCCTTTGTCCTGTCTTTTATGGATTTCGCCCAGGGGACATGGGGGCTTCGGAACATACATACATACATGCAAACATACATAAATTCTGATTGTCGTGCGCCCTTGGGGGCAGCCCCCAGCCCCTGGGGCTCGGCTAGTATTTGTTACATTCATTTGTGTACTATTATTATTATTCATATTTCCTTTACAGCAGTATACGTTTCGCCATCTCTCCAAACTCCAAACTGCATCCCATCCCATTTATCATGGAATTCGTTGATATGTGTTCAATTAGCTCGAAAGGCCTCGTCTACATTGACATCCATCGACTTGGAGAGTCCATATTTAACCTCATCTTAATCCAATTTCGGCTGCGTGAAACTGCAAAAAGAAATAAAATACATATATAATAGCGCTAAATCATAGTCTGGGGATTTATATGGGATTAACCTATTCTTATGACAAAATGATAGTGAAAGCTTCTTCAAAGAGCAGCAGATAAGATTAAACAATTTGTTTGGTGTAGCTTTTAGGTTTATGGTGGTGGTATAAACCTTTCAGATTCATTCCTAAATAAACTTTTTTTCGTAGCTCCAATAATTGTGGACACTGCTTAATGTCCATTGATTTTAATACATTACTATTACTAATCGTACTATCATCCTTTTGGTGGATGGTGCAAAAACACCATCTGTATCTAGATCTGTTCCCATTCTCTCTTTTTCAATACATCTGCCATGAATGATAATCGCACAGCTGTTTTACTATCTTTACATTCCATTCAAAAAAACAAACCTGCGACTAAAGGGAAGCAATAAATCTATAAATCAAACTCGAACCTCCATTGTTCTCAGATAATATTCGCAGATGTATGGGATATGTATGGATTTTCATCTACGACAACTAAGGGGCATTCTTCTTCGCGTTCTCATGCTCTTTGCTAATTGAAACCAATTAATGCAATTAAAATCCCATAGAAACGTATGTGCGAAGGAGAGGGAAACAAATTAAGTGCGTGCGTAGTAAATTTAATATAAACAACAACAAACAAAAAAACATAATAAACAACTTCTCAAGTTCTCCGACTATGGGATACCTGGATACCTTCAGTTTTCCTTCACTTTTCTAATCTGGCAATGTTGTAACCCAAGCTGAAGTGCAAAAAATGCCAAGGGGATGCATATATTGAATTATTCTGGCTTTAATCGTCATCCGATAGACAGCCCCATTGTCTACATCGTAGTCAAAGTTTTCTAAAGCACCGGTATACCCTAGCTCTCCAATGATTGCGGGGTATACCACAAAGCAGAAAGCATTTAATGGAGACCAACAGCTTTTCGCGTGTCTGTTTCTCATTTCATTCATATTGACTCGATCAGGGAAAGGCTGTTGAGGCCATGTGGGGCTGTGGTGCAGTGGGGGGAAGGGTGGTGGTTGGATGTGTAGGTGTACTGGGTGTGATAGAGCGGTCCGGTGCGGTCCGGGCCGGACCATTCATTCATTCATTGATATCCCAAATTGGCGGTCACACAGATACGATGTACACATACTTGTACTAATATGTGGAGAGGGCAAGACAAAAATTTCATTCGCTTATTTGTTGATTATGATGATCATCAAAAGCTGTTGAGGCTAAACAGCGCCAGAGACCCCGAGACGAATTGTGTATGAGTGTGTGTCTGCTATCATTAATGAAACTACAGTCCGGCACGGATACGGACACGGGCCTGGTCTGGAACTGAGATCTTGTGATCTTGTGATCTTTTCTGATCTCCGAGCGAATGAAAATGTGTGCTAATTGCAACACTTTGTCGCCAATCAACAGCAACATCAGCCTCTTTTCTGCCTGACTGTAGATATTGTACATATATCTGTATCTGTATCTGTATCTGGTATCTTATCATAATTTTGTTCCTTTTTTGGGTTTGCTACCCCTCTCCCCCACTCTTTCTCTCTCTCGCTCTTTTGAGAACCACGCTTCTTTCGATTAGATAAGTGCAATACTTAGTGGGAGCTGTCACGTACGCGACCACGACCACACATATTGCCCCACTTCTAATTGGCATTGCATGTCGTCTCAGAGAACGGAGCGCAGACATTGAGTAACTAAATGCTGATTACGGCCAGACGAATGGGCGAACGGAGACCCGACAGGGAGGTAACATTGAGTTGAGTTGAAATTGAGGAAAAATATAACCAATTTGAGATGGTAACGAGAGCTTGAGATAGTGAGGAGCGAGAACAAACAAACGGTACAGAGATAACGGTAACGAGAGCCTTAGTGAGGAGAGAGAAATGTAACTAGAGATGGAAAAGTGAGCGATCATCAGGTGTAACTAGAGATCATGGAATCAGCCGCATTTCATTTGATAAATAAAAGGTTTAAATGCAAAGTGAGTGAAACTGAGCAGTCTCAAAGGTCTCACAGTTAACATATGTATATGTATGTACATCCCAACAGCCTCGACAGGTTCGACCATCCACAGGGTAGCCGAAAGAGAAATGCCAAATGCCAGATGGAGTCGAAGTCGAAGTTGGTAAGAATCTTTTGCCTTGTTGGCAATGATCTTTCCAGCTACTATCTGCTGGTCAAACTGGTTTTCCCTGTTCCTTTCTATGAAATTGTGTGTGTGTGCGTGTGTGTGTGTGTGTGTGTGGTAGTGGGACAGAGCTAGAGATGGCTACGATGGCTGTTGCGCATGCGCAGTTGCCGTCTCGTTTTGACTTTAAGGGAAATCAAGTGAAGACCCAAGCCAAAGACAGAGCTGAAGCCAGAGCCGGTTGTTGCTGCTTGGGTTACGCTTAAATGAGCGCGTAAGACCAGAAGAACTTCTCTCTCTCTCTCTCATTATATCTCTTCCTCTCTCTCTCTCTCTCTCTGTCTCTCTCTATGTAAAAGTGATTCTTTGCTGTATTGGAAAACATTGTTTTTTTATTGTCGTTATGAAGATCTCGCATAGTTCGTTCGCTTGTTAAGACTAAAGATAATGGTTAAAAAAAAAATGGTGGGGTGTTGGTGGTTTCCTTTTGTTTTTTGAAAAACAACAATTAACGCATGGATGGATGCATAATCGTAATCATAATCAAAGTTTACAATCAATTGAAAGGTTTATCAACTAAATCACTACGAACTAATGTCTTTCTTTTGTCTTAAGATCGATGGAGGGTTCGGTTTTGGGGTTTTGGGAATTGGAATGGGAATATGTATATGTAAACGTTAAAGATGGAGCTTTCTTATGTGTGTGTGGATGTGTGTGGGTGTGTGTGTGGGGGACACTTACTGGCACTCTGGCACACTGCCACGCCCACTCCTTGAATGGATGAGCACCCCGGTGTCGTTCTTTTTCTCGTCCTCGTCCTGATCTTCCATCTTCGTCTTCGTTTTCGTGTTTGTCATCGCTTAGATTTTAGGCATCGAATGGTCGCTTGTGAGCACTGTGCTCATCGTCGACCATTTCGCGCGAGAGATCGGATATCACCTCCTTGTAGATGAGTGGATCGATGTTCTTTCCCAGCTGGTAGAGCAGGAACCAGTCACCGATGTTGCACTTGTTGGCCACTTGCTCGACCTCCTCGCTCTCGGCCAGGCGGGAACGGGCGCGGAGGAGCAGGTGACGGAGCTTGGGGCCGGCAACGACGGCGATGCGGTAGATGAGCGAGATGCCCGATAATATGCTGAGGATGATGAACCAGAACCACAGGAACACGTAGATCTTTTCGTTGACAATGTTTAACGGCAGCACGCACAGTCCGTCGAACTTCTGCACATCGCCGGAGGGACCGTATTTGTGGAACGTACATTTCGTGACCTTTGGAAAGACCCGTGCCATCGGATCGATGCGCTCATCGGGCTCCATTTCGGTGAACTTGAGCACATCGCTGCCGTATGTGCTGAACTCGCCGTCGAGGAAGAAGTCCACAAAGTAGATCTGTCCAATCACATTCACAAAATTGAGGGCCTCGCAGACGAAGAAGCGGAAGGCGTAGAAGTTGTGCCGATTCAGATTGCCAATGAAGTAGTCGACGAGGATCTTCTTGCGATCGTTCTTGCACTCATCGTTCACGATCGGGCTGTTCAGGTCCATCACGAGCATCTTGAGACGTCCGCCCTCCCACGACTTCCATAGGTAGCGCGGCACGTAGAAGAGTATCGCCTGGAAGAAGAGCACAAAGCACACCCACTGGTAGTACTTGTGGTACTTGACCGCATCCTTCCCCTCCACATGGGAGCCAACGCCCGGCTGGACCACATCCCTGCCGGTCACACCGGTGAGGCGTTCCGGGACTGTGAATGTCGAATAGATCCAGCAGTAGGTATCCATCACACCCAGGGGTATCTCGTCGACGATGCAGTCGATCGGATCCCCGATATACTGGCGAGATGTCACCAGCAGGGAGAAGGCGATCAGGATAATCACGGTGGCTTTGTAGTGCATCCGGAATACATTGTTGTCGATGCACACCTGGTCGATCTTCAGCAGGCCCTTAACGGAGCCGAATACGTCAAACATGTTGCCGTTGGTGTTGTCTCTGCTGCGTTAATAATGCTCTTGCTGTTGATTTGCCTTCTTTTACCGTTCGTTCTTCCTTTGACTGATTGCCGTTTGCCGATTGCCGAGCTGTTTCGTTTACGGCTTGTTGTTGCTGCTCTTGCTTATGGCCTGCTGCTCACTTGTCCAACATAACTCTTCAGTCTCCGGCCCAAGAATAATGCACATCAAGCGAAAACAGTAAAAAAAATATTCTTAATTTGTGTGTATGTGTTTGTTTGGTGGTGTGCGCCTGCGTCTGGTTCTGGGCACGATCAACAATTGGTCTTGGATTTGGTCACACAGGCGCGCTCTTGTTGGATCCCCCAGCGAGCTTTCGGCTTCGGCGGAGTCTTCGGGTGCGAACGCTCTCAAACACACGACGGACAACGCGACAATCGTACTCGTTAACTCGAACTCAAACTCAAACGAAAAGCGCGGGCGGTCGGGTGGTGGTGCTGTGGTGGCGGTGGCGGTAGCGGCGACGACGACGACAACGGCGACGGCTGGCGGCGGTGTTACCCAGGTAGTATAAAACGCCGACACAGCAGCGGGCACTAAAGCGTACACTTCGGATATCGGTTTTCGTCTGAGAGCCCAAACTGGAGGGCAGTGTTTTCTCTGCCCGCGTTTCGTTTTGCCACGGAGAGAGAGGGCAGAGCGAGAGCGAGAGCGCGCTCCGCTTGAGTCATTTTAGTGTCCCTCTTACTCGCAGCATTATCGCGGCTGGGGGAACGACCACCAAACACCCAGTTATGCTGTACAAAAAGAGAGAGAGAGAGAGAGCGCGCGGCGCGTGAGAGCCGGGCAGGTAACTTGTGCTGTTATGGGGTGGATCTTGTTTGAGTCGCCACTCAATCTCTCTCCCGCTCAGGCCAGACTTGTATTTGCTCTTGTGCATGTAGGGAGAGGGAGAGAGAGCGCGTGCTAAACATGATTTAATGGACGCATCGACATGGAAGCTGTGCTCCCAAAAAGGGTGACAATTCACTTCAGCGGGGGGACTGGGCGCGAGGAAGGGCGACGTGACTCACTAGTGATGCCACCACATGATGGTCCTTTGAAAGTGAAGCTAAAAGAAATTGCAGCAGCTGCAGCTAATTATCCGTTGGCCTGGCTTGAGTGATGTGGTGGCAGCCAGGAATGGAATGTTTTTTGTGTGCCAGTCTGGCAACGCCGCCGCTCTTGATGTTGCAACTGCAGTTGAGCATCTCTGTTGCGCTCCATCTCAGCAACAGCATCCCATATTCCCATATTCGAAACATTTTTTGTGTGTTGCTGTGTGCTGGTGTTTGTGTTTTCTTTGCAGTGCGACAAGTTCTTGGAACCCGTGCAGTACAATGGAGTTGGTTGTGTGTGGATGCTGGAGTTGTTTGAAGTTGGAGTTGGGGTTGCAGTTGCAGTCAACAAAGAAACAAGTCACCAAGAGATACATAGAGATGGCCAGGGAGCGAACCGTATGGAGCAGGAGAGCAAAGTTGAGATAAAGGCTAAGAGAGGATGGAACCCGGCTTTCACTGCATTTCTATAGTACTTTGAAACACACTCACGCACACACACACACACACACCCAAACAGACACACACAGGCGCTGATTATTTCCAACGATTTATTTACCTGTATGTCCCATGCATTGAGTATGGAAGGAAACGTGATTAGAGCGACTCTCCCATGGTATACTACATTTAGCGGGATTTTCCCCTGAAGCATAGAGGCAGACAGACAGAGACAGAGAGAGAGGCCGAGCCTCGACGACTACCTGTTACACTCGTTCTCGTTGATGTTGCTCTCCTTCTCATTGTTGGTATTTTTACCTTTTGCTTTGTCTTTTTTCGTTTGCCTCTTTACCTGTTTCTTCTTTCTTTCGAGTCCGACACCGTCCATAAATTCCGAAAACCAGCGCCAGACGACCCATCGTTAGGGTCCACGACACTATAGAAACTATCTTGAGTTTTAAATTAAGAAATCCAATGGCTTATCTATATCATAAATGGTGTTATATATAGTGTACACATAGTATGTATACACATAGCACACATACCATTCCTTCAAGAGCACTCATTCGATTTTACAAAATAATTAAAACGAACATTCGATGTCGTAATAGCTGTCCATATTCGGGGCCACTAGCAGTACCAGTAGCTGCTAGAATGCTGATAAGGAATGATAAGGGTGCTCTTTCATGACATCACAGAACTTCAAAAACTCAGATCTGTGGAGGAAACGTCTGTACAGAGGAAACTAGAGAGAGAGAGAGAGAGAGAGAGAGAGAGACACACATTTCAGACATTATTAAGTACTATTTTATCAAGATCTCGATGGATCTGATGAGTAAACTTCCACAAATAGGCTCAGAAGCGAGCACAACCCAGACATCCTAGAATCCTTTTTCAATTTATTATATTTTATGTATAAATATATTTTATTCATTAAGAGGTTTCCTTGATTCCGCAGCTCATAGTACATATTTAATTTTATACTCTCTATTAAAATCGATTAAAACTAAATTTTCTTCACATTCGCAAATGAAATAAAAACTTTTTTGGTTTGCATTTTTGCCTTTGATTCCGATTCTATTCTAAACTTGGAATTAACTGAACCTAAAGATATGGTCAAGTCTGAGTTTATACTTTTCCTTTCAGATGCAATCAAGAAGCCACTTCAACTCCTACAAGTCGACAACTTGATTAGCAATTAGCCAAATTTTGGATCGAATTCGTTTCAGTCCGACCCAAAACCCGCGTAGTGCTCAAAGAACGGGGGCAAAACATGAGAAATGAGTCCTCCCATTAGGCGTACGGCAATTAATAATGATTGCCGTCAACAACCTGAGAGACGAGCCAATAAAAATCAGTTATAAAACCATTAAGTCGATACACAAGCGGACATACGAGTGAGTAGAAGATACATTGCTGATACGGCTACTGTCCGGGCTATAAATAGCCCCAGAAAAACCGCAACGAACCGAATCGATAACCAAACCCGAGACCGAAGCCTTAATTGTCTAACGCCCGTGTATCAATCAGATGGAATGGGGGCTCCCTATCCCCCCATTCTCAAGTTTCGCACAAGTGTTCAAAGGAGAAAATGGTATCGTATAAGACTCGCTCGATTGTAAATTTCCAAAATATATGATGAGAACGACAACATTTCACATGATTTATGGTTTATCTCTACTTCAGTCTGTGATTTCTTTATTAATTGACCAATTGCCGGATCTTAGTCATCCATCTACGTGAGGAGCCCAACGATGTCGGACAATCATCCAAGAAAATTCCCCGAAAATTCTCTGCGTCACTATATTAAAATCAAGCTACGCCTGCGCTTAGCTTCTCTCTCGCTCTCTTGGTTTTTGCACACTCAAGAGGAGCTCTCAAAAAAGACAGTGCTGTTGGCCCTGCCAATGATCAACTCTCTCGCCGCTCCCTCGGTTTGACTATCTTATAGATACTTGGATACACTCGTACTTTGTTTTGTTTGCCTAATCAGTTTCTCGTGTCGGCGTCGCTTTGTGTGCAGCGCCACCATTAAAGTCATCGAATCAAGTTAATTTCGCATACGATTCTCCATTAAGTTCCCTATGAATAATTGGCAACAGGTGGCGATTACCCCAAAAACGTCTTCGAGGTCTTCTTTTTCGTGTGGGGGAAGGGAGCTAATGGCAAAAGGTATGCTTTTGAAAACGTTTATCAATCTAAGACCCCTAGAAATGTTTATTCTCCAAAGGTCACAGCCAAGGAATCGTGAAATCATGGAACTTTATACGCATTACTCCTACGACAGGTAATGTGGATCATTTATTGAATATTCTATGAAAATTTGAGAGCAGTATTCCTTTCAACGGATACAAATATTCTAAGTAGAAAAAGTACCTCGCTTATAACTCATAGCTTTTAATTTTAATAAACATGTTCAATTTAAGGAGAAAATAAATTGAAATTTAAATAACATGAATTCAGCTCAACAAACAACTGAAATACGATTATTACCGGGCAATAATGCATACCATTATTATAGATCAAAGAAAGAAGAATTTTCCAATAAATAAAGCATACCATTATTATTAACGATAAAAAAAACTTTGGCTATTGGTACCAGAAGATGCATCTGTCCACCGACACACAGAGTAGACTTCGCAGATAAGATGACGAGACAACAAATAAATTCTGAAGTAAGGATGCTTTCTTCACAGGCACACGGGACTCGACATCAAGATACCCGGCAATCCATTTCTGTGGTCTGATCTGGATAAGGACCATTCCTGGATTCAGAAAGGGTATATCAGTTTTAGCGCTCACTAATCACCTGGTCAATCGCATTCTTCAAATGCAAAGCATTGTGCAATTTGTATTAAATAAAAGCTCGTACTTTCATTTTTTTCAGCAGAATATTGTTGCAATGAATGCGAACACGAGTATTGCCTATGAGGTGTAATTGTATCTGTGACTGAGGGTAATGTGTTGATCGCCTTGCTTGAATGGCTTGAATTTCGATTTCATTGCGGTTTGCTTTATTCAAATTTCAATGCGAAAATGCCAATGGGAAAAAGATAAATAACAATACGAGTATTAGGCAATTGTGTTAATGAAGCAATTCGACTGATATTTGAATATGATTCAATGAACTTTCGCTGAACCAAAAAAAAAACCAAAACAAATTTTCCAATGAAACCCAAGAACCGGAAAAGGCAATATCATAGCCAGTCAACCATCTAAAAATGTGGCAATTACTAACACGATTTCATAGAGAGAGAGAGAGAGAGTCACTGCTCATGTTTACGCATTTCCATTCCCGTCTCTATCTACGGCTGTACGGGTATCTTATCCGGCAACGTTGGACTCTTAAGCGCTTAAGTAATAAGCACAAAATATTATCTAGCGATAAGATTGTCATTTCATATAAGATTAAAGAGAACAGACGGAGACCTCCACCTGTCCTGCCAAGAGACATGCAGTTATGACGAACTCCGAAATGAAATCTTTTTCAACGCAAACAATCGAGTAATCCTCATCTTAAGTTAAAGAACAACAGTCGTACGTTCTGTGTGTCCGTCACTGATCTGGGTCAACAGCTGCATTCCCCCCGTATCCACTGCGCCACAATTATTCACTTTCGGTCCCTCCATCCATTGGCATAGACAACATTGAATCGGAATTGCGATTG